TGATCGCCTCCGAGGACGTGAACGGCTCGTCAATGTGCTTGTCCGAGTTGCTGATCTGCTTGGCAGGCGAGAGAGCGGTCGGGTCAAGCACCCGCACCTCGACATTCATGCGGCCAGCCGCCTCGATGAACATGCGTCGAGCTGGCCTCCGCCAAGGATACCGATAACCTGCTTGTCCATTATGAAAAAGTTTCAAGGGGAAGGTGAGTGTGGGGGGGGAATAGCGCTTTTCGAGCAACGATGGTTTTCTCGGAAAAGAAAAGGTTGCAGTTCCTGGCGATTGCCAGCAATGGTCCCAACCGCGGTTGCGGATTAGGTTGTGATTATGCCGAGATAACGTGAAAGTCGCAGATTAGTAGATCCAGGCGATTAGCTCACTAATCCAAGATGTGCATGGACAGCCGTGCTTTACCAGGCACGGGTCTGGACTGTCGGAGGCCGAGAGTTGCAGCTCTCCAGCAATGATGCTACTCTTACGCCATGTTCCTGCAGGACCATGTCTGGGTGCCTTTGGAGCTTGCCCAGATCAGTGAACTATGGAATATGACCTATCTCTTCTGTGTTTCTCCAGCTATCTTTGCTATTATTCTTATGATCCTATATCCAGTACCATGGCATAGTCCAACTTTCAGATCCAAACCAGATATATACGTGCTCTCACATCTTCGCATGGTAATGCTAGCACTACAGCACCAGGATACCATACCTTCTCGGTAGCGATCCCGCTCTTGTCGGCAAAAGTTCCATCCTAGTATACAAAATCGTATTTTATTCAGTGCTGGGCTTTTACATTATATTCACAGTGGTGACCTTCTCGCTGTACATCTGGAGAGCAAGGCGATCACAAGAGCGCTCGTTAAGGGAGCGGTCAGTGTTTCTGCTCACGTTGCAGGTGGTTGGTGGGTTCATATTCGGCTGTTGCACCCTATGCCATAACGCTATACCACTATTCCCGTGCTTTCTCGACTTTTGGCTATTGTACACTGGATACAATATCTGGCTATATGCATTTGGGCTTCGCGCTTTGCGGTTTTACATTCAGGCGCGCTCACATACTGCGATTGGGCACGAGGTACGGGATAACCCTATTCGGCCAGGCAATTTACACCAGTATCTGGACCGGTTGCGTGAGATAGGCGGGCAGAGATATTTACAGTCGTCCTACAACCTCAACAAGTCACAGCCAACAATCAGTCCGACAGATGGACAGCGCAAACACTCTCTCGCAATGTCGCTTCAAAGCGTTCACAACCTGCATAGGCATCGGCCATCAGTCCCTGATACAGTTGACACAAATAATTCGACCAGCCTAGCCGCTATTGTCATCGAGCCTGCGGAAATCGAACAGAGGAGCAGCAGTCATGGATCTCACAGTGGGCGTGTATCGATATCTTCTCGACTCTGCTGTAACAGCAAAGAGTTATCCCTTCGACAGAAGAATGCTAACCGAAGTCGCGTTTTAACCGTGCTAGCCCGTGCATCATGTCAAACCGAGTAGTGGGGAAAAATACTCCTGATATTATTGGTGCTTCTGGCGATTGGTCTCTTGTTCGGAAATATCTTTTCGCCTTTTACTGACTATCCGTCCGATGCACTACAATTGCGTTAGAGCATGGGTGATGTTGCCTTTAGCCATCTTTTCTGGCATTTACTACTTCATTGCTTGCCCTATTCTCCTTGCGCTTATCTGGCGATACCACGATGCATATGGAATTAGAAACTCCCTTATCATCTGCGTTGTGACTGGGATGTTACAATATCCTATTGTCATTGTCTGGGAATTTGCGATTCAGCCGATCAACCACTACATCACCCCCTTTATTCTTCACATGGGCTCAGATGTTTATCATCTACATACAGTCGATTGTCGTACCACTGGTTGAGTCGTTTTATATTGCCTACCGAGAACGCAGGAGGTCGAGCATGAATGACGCAGACCAGTTTATTGACGAGTTCCGACGTCCAAGCCGGCTGCCCATCACGGCTAGACGGCAATCGGGAACAACCAGAGAGGGTTTTTTATGCAGCTCTACAGGATCCCGGAAGAGCACGAGAGACTCAAACAGTTTGCAGTGGCGTTGTTTTTGCAGCGAGCTGATGTCCTTCCTCGACGCTTACGCGGCACTCAAAGCCAACATCCATCTTGACCTCAAAACCCATTCAACGCCCGAGCAGAACACGAACTTTGAGGCCGATATCTGGCTCGGTTATATCGTCGTTTGATACCCTGCAGCCTCCGACGACGACTCCAAATCTACATGTCACGTGTTCTATATCAGGAACTGGTCGCAGCCATGCATCCCAAGATGTTGTTGCTCCATTTTTGTTCGACGACACACGGAGATCGGAATCGCCCGAATCAAGGCTGACCAGGCCGTCATCGTTTGGGATTGGACTTACTGATATTACTACTGGCATCGTGCAAACCATGGCCAAGGGCATTTCCGCGACTAGTCATTGACGACTCGACCACCATTTCTGAGAGAATCCGCCGAGCCTGTTTCTGCCATTCTGACCACATTCATACTTCCCGAATCATCGCTGGCGATAAACACGTCTAGCCAAGTCATCAGAGTTGCACAGGACTACTTGGATGGGGGCACAATCACGATGAGCTGCTTTGACAAGCTGAAGGATGACGTTCTTGATATGCTCTACTCAAACGTGTATCTCCGCTACAAAAATAAATGACCTGAAGTAGCTTTAAACTAAAAATTTCTCAATGAATGATCATGTAGATGTATGCATTTTATCCTTCGATGGAAGAGGCAGACCATACCAGCAACCACAAACCACATTTATGTGGTTCCATGTTCCACAATCGCTTTATACAATTTTTTTCTGAAGGAACTCGAAATCGTGATCGGATCAGTCGAACAACTGGTCGTTTGGAAATCACATGGAATGCGTCCGATTGGCTCAGTTGGCAGAGCGTGAGTCTCATAATCTCAAGGTCGTGAGTTCGAGCCTCACATCGGGCAGTGTCTTTTGCTCCTGCGGGGCTTCTCTTTTTGGATATACAGGCGCTTTTTTGCACGCTGGGCGAGGCAATGTCAGTCGAATCAGGTGGTGGCAAGCCGGGCGCCAGCAAGAGCCCCGCTACAGCCTACACTATGGAGGTAACGTCTAGCCCTTGATGAGCTGCACAAACGGCCGCATTGAAAATACCTCCGTGCAACTTGTCTATTTTCTTTTCTCTCTTTTCTTCAGTATTAAATATCACCTTTAAAACCTCCTACATATCTAACTAACACAACACCATTTTTTTTTTTGACTTTTTTTAGTATATTCAATGGTTGGTGTTTGGCTTATCCGCGTCCCCTTGCAGTCTACGTGTCACAGATGCCATACCAGCTTCACTGTCCGCTGCTACAACTGCAGATCAAAAACGCTAAATTCTGCCTTTTCCAATTGCTCTAGCTAGCCTTTAACAGGAACTGCTGTCAGTAGCGCTGGGACCCTTTCCTTTGGATTATTCGGTGTATTCAGCTCAGTCACACCACACAGTCTCGTATACCCTCTGGTAGTCAACTCAAAAACACCCATCAATCGATCTACAAATATCGATCGGTAAGCAGATAGCTGCCACCAATCGCTCAGCGATCTCGGCCCCTTACCCTCTGTAGGAGAGCGACTGATGCCTTCCAGGTGCGGCGTGTTTCCAGGCTGATCCTTCCTATCAGTATCATCATCAGCAATGCGCATCAAAATACCAAGCCCAAGTAATTCATGCCTTTGCCGCTGGCCATTGGATTCACTGCCATGCTGCTGACGCCCATAGGGTCGTACCCGCTGTTCTATACCTACCTACCAGCAATTGCTGTCAGAAAAGATGAGCGGATGGGGACGGGGAAGCAGGTGGTATTGAGGTGTGACCAAGTCAGCTTGATAATAAGGCGCGTGCAGCACAGATGACAGGCCAAATTATTTCTATTTCTGAAGGGGGCAAGAGGGGTGTGGATTTGCAACAGAAGCACAGCGGACTGAATATGCAGCATAGCGGATGACGTGTAGGTTCTCGTCACTATAGAGGTTGGCTGGTTTGATACCATGGAGCTTTTTATAGCCAAATGTAAGAGACGAGATAAAGGTGTGTTATTGTGTGTTTTGGCGGTACGCAAGGCTACATGTCCAATCTAACTAAGCCTAAGGTTATCGTTCACAACGAGAAGAGAAACTGGGTGCTAACCAATCACGATATGTGGTGTATCAAGCCCAATCGTAGTGGCCGTAGGTGTCCTGGTGGCTGTCCTTTTCACTTGCGCTCTCCGACGACCAGTTGCAGTCGTTGCAGCGCCACACAGAGCGCACATACAGGCGGAGTTTCGTCTTGAGGGATTGCCATATCACGAATATTCCTTGCAAATGCCTGTATAGAACAGAAAACCCAGTATAGATAACTGTTGGGTAGAGTGAAATGAGGGAATAAGTTAGCAAAAGAGTGTCGGGGTTGAAATAGCCGTGGAAAGAAGGAAGCTTGGGGCAATTTAAGGCTTTTCGCTAGCGGAGGTCAACCAAAAACAATACTATGCGCTAGTTGACAAGACGGGAGGAGCAGGGGGAAGAAGAATTCGAGAGGTCAGGACATGAGCTATTTGAGGGGGTTTTTTGGGGAGGGTAGGTGACGGGGGAATTGCACATGCATCTGGTGAACATCTAACCTGCTTTGTCACTGAGGGCCAGTGCAGCAATGTCAGACAAGGATGTCAGAGAAATGATAGGGGGGGATATTGAGGCACATGCGAAAATCAAAGCGCCTAATGTGCTCAGAACCATGGTTGCACAGGAACGGGAGGGAGGGAGGGATGCACATTGCACGAGTCTGCATACTTCCTAGTGTTCTTTTTTTTTCTACAAATACTTGTTCGCATAAACTGGTTTCCTGTGATTCGCAGATTGCACAATTTTATTTCCCAGCGCTATATCCTGAAACCCACACCCGCATGTTGTCTTATGTCCTAGTAGGAACCTGTGGCTGGGTATACATGTATACCACAGCACACGGGGAAGGCATCTTTATTCATGTGTTGCGGTGGCAGGCATTGTGCCAAAATGTTCATGCCATCCCCGTTTATAGCAGAGGAAAAACTGAACAGATTCTCATGGCTGTCACACTTACATCTAGCTTGGGGAGGCGAAATAGGCCGGCCAAACCTTGTTCCTTCGCCTGAACACGAATAGGAGGCGGAAATGGTGGGAGGCCACCACATATGCAAGACATGCCGCTTGCATTAACCAGATGACAAGGGATTAACCACTTTAAGCATCCTCTTTTGCGCCATGCATATGGGCAATGAGAGGTGAGGGATACTGGCCTGTTTTTTTCTCCCTCAGTACGCAGGAAACTCCCGACCCAGTAAAAAGCTAATTTATTCAGTTGATATTTTGCTTAGGGTGTAGGGGGCCTGGGGGTTTTCTCGAGTTCCTGGTCGACCAGGTCGGCAAAGGACATCTTGTTTGGCGGCATGGCGCTGGTGGACATGCCAATGCCGACGCTGCTGGCCACCATCGAGGGGACCATGGCAGCAGCCAATACATTTTTGGTCGGCTGATCGCTGCCACGGCGTCCATGCTGCTTCCGCGGCTCTCGCGCCAGCCGGGGGCTAGTAGCAGAATCAACCTCGGCGCTGGCCTGATTCACTGCAGAGTCAGGTGGCGTGGGCTGCACAGCATGTCTGGAGCGGCCTGGGGTGCGGCCTGGGGTGCGGGCAGTGTCGCGGGGCTTCTGGAAGCGCTTGGACAGCTCAGAGCCGAACTTGAACACTGAGGTCTTTTGCATGCCCTTGGAATCGGCCAGGGGGCTGTACTGGTCGTACTCGTCGTCCGAGCCCTTGCCGTGGCGCTGGTTGCCATTGTCGCCAATCAGCTTGCTCTGGACAGTTTGCGCTGGCGGCTGCCACTCAAGATTGGCGGGGGTCTTGTAGATGTCTTGAGGAATGAACGGCATCATCCACCAGATAAGCTGGTCGGGAACCAGTCGCAGCACTAGGCCGACAGGCAGCGCAACGAATCCGCCGACAATTGAAAAGGCCCAGTACTTTGCGCTAAGCGCAGTGGTCTGGAAGGCGGCGCCACCCCACTGGATGATGATGACCTGGCCGACGACGGATATGAGCACAATGGACAAAAAGAACATGTTCTTTTGCATGCCCTTGAAACAATTGACCTCATTGTGCAGCACACGGCAGTTGAACTCGTTGAAGATTTGCATCCAGGCAAACGTGTTGAAGACCAGAGTGCGCAGAACCAGCATGTCGTAGCTGCTTTCGACAGTGTGCAGGTGGAAGATGTCGTCGGCGGCATATAGAGTCAGGAAGCACACAACGACCTGGAAGATGGACTGGCCAATGATGTTCTTCCACATGGTGAAGGTAATCAAGGGCGAGCCCTGTTTCTCGGGGTACCGGTCCAGCAGCTCCTCGCTGGGCGGGTCGGTGGCCAGGGCAAGGGCGGCAAAGGTGTCCATGATCAGATTGATCCACAGCAGCTGGACAGCAGTGAAGACCGACTTTTGCTCCTTGTCGACAATGGACGACACAAAGGCAATGAGCACGGCAGTGACGTTGACGGTGATTTGGAACTGCAGGAACTTTTGACCGAGTCGTTGACAGCACGGCCCACATGCAGGCGCGCACAATGGACTTGAAGTTGTCATCCATGACAACGATTGACGAGGCCTCCTTGGCAACCTCTGTTCCGGCAATGCCCATCGAGAAGCCGACATTCGCAGCCTTCAGGGCAGGGCCGTCGTTGGTTCCGTCGCCAGTGACCGAGACCACCTCGCCGTGTGTGCGCAGCCACTCGACCAGCATGCGCTTATCCTCGGGCGACGAGCGCGCCAGAACCTGTAGGCGCGGAACAATGACGTCCATCTGCTCGGGGCTCAGACGGCGGAATTTGGGGCCCTCCAGGACGATTCCGCCCATGCCCGGCGTGTAAATGCCGCATTGCGTGGCGATGGCACGGGCAGTCAGCACGTTGTCGCCGGTAACCATGCGGACGATAATGCCGGCGTTCTGGCAGCGCCTGACGGCATCAGTGACCCCGTCGCGCAATGGGTCCTCAATGGCGAAGATGCCCAGGCAGACCAGACCGGCCGAGTCGCGCAGCTCGCTGTCGTTTTCCATTTGCACCAGCCGGGCCTCGTCAAAGCTCTCAAAGTCGCGGTAGGCCACGCCGATGGTGCGCAGGGCGCGCGACGCGTAGTGGGCAACGGTGCGGCGGAGGTCGCGCAGAGTCTCGTCGTCCAGAGGCAGCGCCGGGATCGCCGGGTTATGGGCAAAGTCCGGCGGGAAGTTCAGGGCATATGCGTCGTCGTTGACGTCGGTGGTGTCCGAGCCGATGTTCTGCGAGCCCGTGTAGTGGGCAGATAGCAGGTACGACGAGTCGCCGGTGGCCAGCGCGGGCATGTTCGGGCTGCTCGAATCGTCGTCTTCGGTAGCGTCGACGCGCAGAAGCGGGACCGGCTCGCCGGCCGGCCCGCGCACCTCAAGATTGTCCTCGTCGCTGTCGTTCTCGAGGTTGATTTGCGGGATGCTGGGCATGGCAACAGAGGCGAAGGCGGGGGCGTCCTCATCATCGCCGCTGTAGTTGCTCATCGAGGGGTTCGAGCTGGCCTGCTGGTTCATGATTTCCTCACGGTCCTGCCTCTGGAAGGCGCCGTCAACATCAACCACCCAGCGGCAGTTCTCCAGCACCATCTCGGGAGCACCCTTGACGTACAGGCGCCAGATGGACTTGCCGTCCTCGCGACGGCGGATCTTGACAAGCGTGCTCATGGACTTGCGCTCGGAGCTGAACGGCCACACCTGCACGCTGCGCTCAACATCGTCCTCCCGCAGCTGCGTGTAGCTGGGGGCACCCAGAATCTCGGACCACGACAGCATGGCGGTCTCGGTCTTTGACCCGGTGAACTTGTCGGCGCTAGAAACCTGCGCATTGGCCTCGCTGCTCTCCTCGTTGCTAGCCAGCGCTCCCTTTTTGCCAGTGCGGCCAAGGATGCGCCGCCACAGGGGGGACTTGGCGTTGCTGGCAGCAACATGGGAGGCTGGGGCGGACGAGGAGTCGTCGGCTGGAATGAAGGCAGTCGAGCAGACGGCGATTGCGTCGTGGCAGAGGCTCATGATCGCATGCGGAGCCTCCTCGGCCAGCTCGGCAGTGGGGATGATCAGGTCCTCGTCGTCACTGAAGTCGCTGAGGTCCGAGATGCCCGAGACACTGGGCGAGGCATCCGACAATGGCGTCATGGCGCTTGATGACGAGAACCCCGACGAGCCCATGCGGCCCAGACGGCGGCGCTGGTGGCGCTGGCGACGGTCGCGCAGGCGGCGCTGGCGGCGGGTCTCGGTTTCAAGCAGTGTGGGAAGCACGGCCTTGTCGGGAGCAACCGCACGGCCAGTCATGTCGGTGACCAGCCCGTCCGAGGGCGGCTGTCTGGCGCGACGGCGCTGCATGGCCGAGGTGCCCGGCGGGTACGAGCTGAACTGGTACTGGTCGCCGATGCAGCCCGAGACGACAGTCATGCGGTTTTGCGTCAATGTGCCGGTTTTGTCGGAGCAGATGGTGGTGGCATTGCCCATGGTCTCGCAGGAGGCAAGCACGCGCACCAGGCAGTTGTCCTTGAGCATGCGGGTGGTCGCCACAGCCAGCGATAGCGTCACGGCCAGCGGCAGGCCCTCGGGCACCGCCACCACGATGATGGTGACGGCAGTAATGACGATGCGCACAACGTTGTCGACGACCTTGGTGGCCTCATGCGACACCTCATGGCGACCGAACTGCACAAAGTACTTGATGATAAGCACGATGAACATCAGCAGACCGGCGGCGCCGCCCAGCTTGGCAATGAGCTCGGCCAGATCGTTGAGCTTGGCCTGCAACGGCGTGGGCTCGTTCTCCTTGCGCAGCGACATCAGCGTGCGGCCGTAGAATGACTTTTCGCCCACCCCCACAATCACGCAGCGCCCGACGCCCTCCAGCACGCGGCTGCCCGAGATCAAAAACGGGTCGGCGTTCTTGCTGGACGCCTTGGGCTTTGGCTTCTCGGGGGCAGGCGCACCGCTGGCGACCGTGGCCTTGTGGGTCAGGTCGTTTTCGCCATCGGTCGACTCGTCGGCATCTACGCCCGACTGGCCCTCGGTCTCGATCTCCATGCTCTCGCCCTTGCTGCGCAGGGCTGCCGACCGCTGGTCGCGGCGCTTGGCGCGCAGCTCCGTCCGCCTTCTCTGGCGCTCCTTGCGCCTATCGGCGTTGGCCTGGTCGGCCTCCTCCAGACAGCGCTTCCTTAGCGCATCGCTCTCGCCCGTGACTGAGCTCTCGTCGCACTTGAGATTGGATGCCGATACGACGACTCCGTCGGCGCACAGAATGTCTCCGGGCTCAATGTGCAGAATGTCGCCGACCATGATGCAGTTGGTCGAGACCAGGCGCTCCTGTGCGCCGCGTGTCACCCGCACCCGCCGGTCGTTCTTTTTGGCGTTGAGGCGGCGGAACTGCTTTCTCCTTCTGGAAGTCGTTTATCGACGCCACCAGTGTCACCACCGAAATCGCCACAATAATTGCAAACCCCTCAACCCAGTGCACGTCTTCCGCTGTCCTCCGGGTCCGGGTTCGGTCTGACGTCTTGGTAGATGCCGATGCCCAGGGACACGATCGCCGCGACCACCAGAAGAATCAGCATTTTGTCGTGCAGCGCATCCCACACCAGGCCCAGGAACGACCGCGACTTGACCGGCGGCAGAATGTTGACCCGAATTTCGCCACTCGCTCATAGTACAATTTCATGTCGCTTTCGAATTCGCCCAGCCACGTCAGTGACTCGTCGTCTGCTCCCGCGCCAGCTCGTTGGCAATTTCCGCCGCCCGCGTTGGCGTCTTTTCCAGTGCGCTGAGTGACTCGCCGGGGCGCAACGGGACGATGCCGGTTTCAGAGTCGACGTTGAGCTGCTGCAGGAGCGCTGCGGTGCCGCCCAGTTTCCGGAACCCTCCAGGTCCTTGTCCGCTACCAGCTCGGCCAGCCGGTCGGGGCTTAGGCTGCCGTCAACGTCCACTGAGTGCCCGTCGCTTGTGCTGATTTTATCGCTGCTTTGTGACGGAGTTGCAGCGACCGACTCCGTGACTGCTGGTTTTCCATTTGCGCTCATAGCTTGTGTTTATCAGCTATTTGATTGGTAGTTGTCGATCCTTTTAGTGTGCGCTTTGGTTCCTGCTGCATGACTTTTTTTTTCCGTGCTGTTTGCTAGTGCCACAAGGCCGAGTCACTACTTACATGTATCAAAAGGAAAAAGGGGGAGCCGGACTACTAGCAGATGCTAAAGTAAGCGGTTTCCAGCAGTCTGGATAGCTTATAGATAGAAGAACGGGGCGTGTATGTGTAGCGCTTAAAAGTGCAGGGAATCGATTAACAAATGCACGACGCTTGCTGGTACAGTAGACGTATTTGATAACACAGCAAGTATATAAAAAATAGGAGGGATTAAAAAGGCAAAAAGGTAAGAGTTAAATACAAAAACGGGTGCTTGGCAGGACAAAGAGGCAGTAGTAGTGCTATGGCGATTTAAATAATCTCATCATCCCGGACGCCCAGGAAAAAAAGACCGCCTGGCTGCCAGAGGCGGTTGGCCGCTAGCAAAGCCAACTTGAGGGTACATCCAAAACAACCAGTGAGAAAACGAGGAGCCAAAATGAGCAGAAGAAAGGAACGATCTAGTCCCGAACCTTCTACCAAAGAAGTTCTCCTCAGAAACAGGTACCATCAAACGCCGCTAATGTTGACACAAGCGAGCCCGCTAATCACATACTGGAGCTCTGGAATGTGATCTTGCCCCAACAGCATAGTTCTCAACTCATGTGGGCAAAAGAGAAATTAAAAGAACCTCGCCAGCCAAAGAGAAGCTGGCATACTTGTCACTGTGACTCCCCCGATGTTCCCAGTCTTCCAGCACAGGCTGCGCATATATTATGAGGGCCGAGAGGCACCATAGGTTACCAGAACGTTTTCCAACATCGCTTTCCACACACCTGAAACAAGGGGCCGATGCACGCAAAAACACGCAGAGGAACACGCGACGTCCAGGGAGCCTTCTTTGACAAGCGCGAATGTTCCACGAACAGAGGATCGTCCGCAGAGAACCATGAAGGGCGTGCGGTTGAATAGAACATAGCTGGCGTGAGTAGGCGGATGTGTCCTCAGTTGACATGTGTTGCAATTGACGCGATTGTTGGGGTTGGCCAATGCAAGGGTGCAGTGATCAGATCTCGGAATTTGGATTTTATCACCGAGGGAAAACCAATATCCGTTCCATGCGCTTAGGCTTTTTGCGGGGTATCTAGCTGGTCCCGAGCCCCGATATATGCATTGCTAGCCGATGATGCAATAGTAGAAGCAGCGCTTATGCTAACACTGATAAGTAGGACGCTGGTGGTGCTGATGTCAGCGCCTGATACCACTACTGCCACGTTCTAGATGGTCATATAGCCAAATACTCGTTACACACGAGTGCGAGGAGAGCTGCGGCCACAGCACTATAAAGGGTCTCAGGAATCGCCCTCTTTGCTCCAGCCCAGCACTCATCTTTGCTTTCCCACTACCATCCATCTCCGAGAATTCAAACAATGTCTGCTTTTGCCACCAAAGGATTCAACGCCAACCGCTACCTGAGCCTTCGCCCGACGTACAACAGCAATCTATTGCCTGGCTGAAAACTACCACGCGGGCCAAGGCCAGGGCGGCCGAATTGCCTGCGGCCAGGAATCTTCACCACCGATCTGGCGCGCGAATTCGACAGCGTCATTGGCGTCGATCTGTCCCCGAGCATGATTGCGTCGGCCCAGGAGAGCGCTCACGCGCGCGACATCACCAATGTCGAGTACAAGGTCGGCACCGGTGAATCGCTCCCGATCGAGAGCAACTCAGTCACCTGCTAACGGTCATGGAGGGCGTGCACTGGTTCAAATTCGACACATTCCTGGACGAGGCTCTGCGTGTGCTGAAGCCCGGCGGCACCATGGCCCTGGTCGGGTACAAATACCCAGAGGTGGTTGGCGACACGACGCGCAGTTTCGTCAACAGGCTGGCGTTCGACGAGCAGTATCTGCTAAAGTACTGGGACGATGGATATAAGCTTGTCGAGGGCGGGTACCAGCCTCTGGTTGCGCCTGTCATGGCCTCTGCATTTGAAAATGTCCGGTATGTTGGATACCCAGAGGTCTGGAAGCAGCGCATCCCGGAGATCGAGGTACTGCCAGAAGCGTGGATTGACCAGCGCCAGTCCACATTGGAGGAGCTCGCCGGCTACTTCAAAACATGGTCGGTACAAGGCATGGATGACGATCACCGGGCGAGCCAGATGTCGTCGACAAGTACTTTGAACAGCACATGGAATCATGAACAAGACCCTGACCGACACCGTCGCCATCGACTACCCGCAGTTTGCGATCGTTGCACGCAAACCGCTTTAGACAAAAAAAGAGGAACCCTAGATTTCTATTGCAATAGTATTACAGATCAAACTAGACAAATG